CGCCGTTTTCGGATAACAGCATGAGATTCTCATCCTCGCTGCTAGAACAATCGGAATTTATATCGAAGGGACTATCGTTTTGTTCCGTATGGTTTGTATCGATGTATTGAAGTTCTAGATTTATACTCGCTCTAGAAGATCGTCCGCTATTTGATGAATTAGATATGATTCTATTATCACAGCTGAGTCTCTTCTTTGCTGTTGAATCTTCGGACTCTGAGTTGCCAGCTTTGAAATTACTCTGCGAAGACATGGATGTGCGAATCGAATTTTTGTTCAAACTTTCGGAGCTTCCTCTCGATGTTTTGCTCATGTTTCCGATATCGGCGGGTTTTGCTTTCGGAACTATGACTGCGAATATTTGATTTCTCGGCTCCTTTTCGTCCCTCGAGGGTAATTCTTTAAAGACCCTATCTCGGTTTTCGGATTCCATCATCATTGTAGGCGACAAAGTTCTATTTGGAGGTGATAAAGTGCATGGCCCTTCGAAGTTGAACGATCCGCTCTGATTTAGAACTAAATTAGTCGGTCGATCAAATGTTATATTGCTCGGTTTATCTATTAAGGAAGTTTTTGTTCTACCATTTTGTAATAAACTATTGGCTGATCCTTCTGCGATTAACTTGACTTCAGTTTCGAGTGGTTTGGCCGCTCTGCCTAGTTTACGTTCAAAGAATTTCCGAATACCCCATCTTGGTTTCTCCGTTTTCATATCTTGGTGTAGATTAGTTTCTTTAGGTCTTCTATCTGCGTCGTGGGCGCTGACGTCATTGGGGACATATTCAAGTGGTCTTTGATAGGATCTTATTTCGTTGAATCTGTCTGAATTCTCTTGTGCCGTGTTCCGGGTAACTCTGGCCACTGAGAGGCAGTTTTCTAGTACGTTTTGTGTTTGGGGTTGTGTGTGTGTGTCCGCGATGTCCTTGAGACTTTTGTGTACGAGGTGTGTCGTGTGTGTGTGTGTATGTGCGTCGTGTGTGTTCCGCTCTATGCAGGCGTTGCGGCCGATATGAGGCTGTGTGTATAAAAGGGGAGTGCTGACGTCACCGTTGTGAGGTGCCGTGCAATTCGAATTCTTATCGATTTCTGGTGTCGATGGGATGTTTGTGTCACCTAAAAGTTGGGTTTTAAACGTCATTTATTGGTTAATAGTATGGATTTGAGATTACAAAGTCAAGGGTTCGAATCCCGCCATTCAAATATTATCACAAATCTATATCTTAGTTGTAATGGAACAAGAAATTTGTACAAATTAATAAAATCCTGCTAATTTTTTATCAAAGGCGTCGTAATTTTTTCTATAATTTAATAGAACTGAAGATAATATCAAGATTTAGACATCTAACTGGTTTTGATTGTGAAAAATCTTAGAATCGACTAAATAAAGGTAAAAGTGGAGGTAAAATTTAAAAATAAAGTCTTACCATGTGTGTGAGGATGCAAGTTATTATCATGTATGACGGGTCCTTGGACCAACAACATCATCTTCAGTTCCGACATCCGCTCCTCAACGCACACCGCTGTTAATCTGTAAAAAACCAGGTTTTTTTTACATTTAATGAAATTTTACCAATACAATTAACAATATGAGAGCGTTTTATTTTAATTACGTTAATTTAATAGTTTGCTTTTTTAGCCTTCATTATCATAGACTATATTATATATAAATATAGCCTATTACTCACTGAAACATAGCTTTTTAATGGTAAAAGAATTTTTGAATTCGGCGCAGTAGTTTTTGAGTTATTTCAATACATACAAAACAAATCTTTCCTCTTTATAATATTAAGTATAGATATAAAATTGCATTATTTTATTACAAACTTTCCTGTGAAATGAATATCATTTGTCTACAGAAATAGTCTCATATTATATTGTTGTAGTTAAATAAAATGTGAAAAGAAAACATAAATAATTTTAACTTTTACCATTGTCATTGATTCTGTTATGACAAAAACCTGTTGCGCCGACCCTACGGGAGTAGGATAAAGAGATGATGAAGATTGATTCTGTTATGTCTTCTGGCTAATTTTGGTGGATAATCATTATTTTAAGCTTGTAGGAAATGTAAAATTTTTATACCTAGCTTCAGCATCATGATCCCAGCATTCATCGCAAGTGTCGGTGGCGATCTTCAGCGCACGCGCTTCGGGAACCGGGCCGCGCGGCAGCGGCGGACGCGCCTTGTTGCGGGACACTAGACTCTGTACACAATAAACAAATATTAAACCTTTAAATGCATCAATTTATTTATACAAGTCTTTTCGTCTTTACCCAATAGAATATTTTGAAAAAAAAAAATTTTTTTTTCTTTTTCCCCTTAATTTATGTTCAATTTTCTACCTGTTTCAATTTATGGTATTTAAAATCGTAAGGGTTAAGTAAAAATACTATTATTGATGCGGCCCCAGGATACCAGACCAATACTTAAGATCTTTTGACGTTTTATGAAAAAAAAATGGCGGTGTCATATTTCACGTTTTTAATTTTTTTTACGTTATTTTAAAATTTTATTGTTCAGTGTTGCATATAGTTTAACTGTAACAAAAGCGTATTGCAGTAATAATACAGATGTAGGGCCAGTGTTAAAGTAGGGCATAGCTAGGCCGCCCAGGGACAGGGGCTGACATCTTAGGCAACAAATAAGTGTGTGTTTACGTTTATTATAATAGTATAGATACAGATAATGAGTACCTGCATCTGCGCGAGCGTGGGCTGGTGGGGCAGGCCGAGGTGGTGGTAGGGCGGCGCGTAGGGCGGCGCGCGCGCGCGGTGTGCGCCGGCGCAGCGCCACAGCATCTCCCACAGCACCAGCGCCAGCGCGAACACGTCCACCGCGCACAGCGCCGCGCGCGCGCCGCTCAGGTCCAGCGCGCCCTCCAGCGCCTCCGGGGACAGGTAGCGGAGAGTGCCCGCCTGCTAAACCAATTTTTGCTAATATTGATATAATTAGGAATCATCTATACTTCTCATCATCTCCCCTGCCTTATCCTACTCCCGTAGGGTCTGCGCACCGGGTTTTCGTCCTCGAAAGCACTCTATCATCCGTCATCACTCTCTTCTTGATCATGTCACCTTTCAGGCAATCCATCCATCTCTTTCTAGGTCTATTTTTGTAGTAATATTGATATGATTAGAAATCATCTATACTTCTTTATTAATATAATAAAGGATGTCAGGAATCACAGCATAATTTTCAATATTTTTTCTTTAATAAAAAACCCTACACTTACGACACGCTTTAGGCTATGTTTTTTTGCACTACTAAAGTTGGGGGATAAAAAATTCGAAAAAACCTTCATGTAGGAAAGGGACCATAAACTACTAACTGCCAACATTAAGCAAGCAAGTTTGCCATGGTTTGTCATCGTCATTTCATTTTGACATTTGCAATTGATAATTTGACACATGTAAATAATATAATAAATATTTTGATAATTTTATGCGGATAAAGTCGCACGGAAAC